GAAAAAAGATTTGACGAAATGCTAAAGAGAATGGACAAAATAGAAAGGAATATAAGTGAATTGATGGAGCTGAAAAACGCAACACGAGAACTTCGCGAAGCATGCACAAGTATCAACAGCCGAATTCACCAAGCAGAAGAAAGGATATCAGAGGTCGAAGATCAACTCAATGAAACAAAATGGGAAGGCAAGAATGGAGAAAAAAGGGTAAAAAGGAATGAACAAAATCTCCAAGAAATGTGGAACTATGTGAAAAGACCTAATCTACATTTGATAGGCGTACCTGAATGCGACGAAGAGAATGAATCCAAGCTGGAAAATACTCTTCAGGATATTATCCAGGAAAACTTCCCCAACCTAGCAAGGCAGGCAAACATTCAAGTCCAGGGAATACAGAGAACACCACAAAGATATTCATCAAGAAGAGCAACCCCAAGGCACATAATCGTCAGATTCACCAGGGTTGAAATGAAGGAGAAAATACTAAGGGCAGCCAGAGAGAAAGGTCAGGTTACACACAAAGGGAAGCCCATCAGGCTCACAGCAGATCTCTCAGCAGAAACCCTACAAGCCAGAAGAGAGTGGGGGCCAATATTCAACATCCTTAAAGAAAAGAACTTTCAACCCAGAATCTCCTATCCAGCCAAACTAAGCTTCATAAGTGAAGGAAATATAAATCCTTTGGGAACATGCAAGTACTCAGAGATTTTGTCACCACCAGGCCAGCTCTACAAGAGCTCCTGAAAGAGGCTCTACACATATAAAGGAACAACAAGTACCAGCTCAACTAAAGGGCAAAACACCCAGCTAGCACCAAAATGGCAGTATCGAATTCGCACATAACAATATTAACCCTAAATGTAAATGGACTAAATGCCCCAATCAAAAGACACAGACTGGCAAATTGGATAAAAAGCCAAAACCCATTGGTGTGCTGTATCCAGGAAACCCATCTCACATGTAAGGATACACAAAGGCTCAAAATAAAGGGATGGAGGAAGATTTACCAAACAAATGGAGAGCAAAAAAAAGCAGGAGTTGCAATTCTCATCTCTGATAAATTAGGCTTTAAAGCAACAAAGATCATAAGAGACAAAGAAGGACATTACATAATGGTAAAAGGATCAATGCAACAAGAAGAGCTAACGATCCTAAATATATACGCACCCAATACAGGAGCACCCAGATACATAAGGCAAGTTCTTAATGACTTACAAAGAGACTTAGACTCCCACACAATAATAGTGGGAGACTTGAACACCCCATTGTCAACATTAGACAGATCAACCAGACAGGAAATTAACAAGGATATCCAGGACCTGAACTCAGACCTGGACCAAGCAAACCTAATAGACATTTACAGAACTCTCCACCCCAAATCCACAGAATATACATTCTTCTCAGCACCACATCACACCTACTCTAAAACTGACCCCATAATTGGGAGTAAATCACTCCTCAGCAAATGCAAAAGAACAGAAATCGTAACAAACAGTCTCTCAGACCACAGTGCAATCAAGTTAGAACTCAGACTTAAAGAGAGCCAAATCAAGAACAAACTTCCATTCACAATTGCCACAAAGAGAATAAAATACCTAGGAATACAACTAACAAGGAACGTAAAGGACCTCTTCAAGGAGAACTACAAGCCACTGCTCAACGAAATAAGAGAGGACACAAACAGATGGAGAAACATTCCATGTTCATGGTTAGGAAGAATCAATATCATGAAAATGGCCATACTGCCCAAAGTAATTTACAGATTCAATGCTATCCCCATCAAGCTACCAATGACCTTCTTCACAGAACTGGAAAAAATCACCTTAAACTTCATATGGAACCAAAAGAGAGCCCGCATAGCCAAGTCAATTCTAAGCAAAAAGAACAAAGCAGGAGGCATCACACTACCAGACTTCAAACTATACTATAAGGCTACAGTAATCAAAACAGCATGGTACTGGTACCAAAACAGAGATATAGACCAATGGAACAGAACAGAGGTCTCGGAGGCAACACAACATATCTACAACCATCTGATCTTTGACAAACCAGACAAAAACAAGCAATGGGGAAAATGATTCCCTGTTGAATAAATGGTGCTGGGAAAGCTGGCTAGCCATGTGCAGAAAGCAGAAACTGGACCCCTTCCTGACACCTTACACTAAAATTAACTCCAGATGGATTAAAGACTTAAACATAAGACCTAACACCATAAAAACCCTAGAAGAAAATCTAGGCAAAACCATTTAGGACATAGGTGTAGGCAAGGACTTCATGACCAAAACACCAAAAGCATTGACAACAAAAGCCAAAATAGACAAATGGGACCTAATCAAACTCCACAACTTCTGCACAGCAAAAGAAACAGTCATTAGAGTGAATCGGCAACCAACAGAATGGGAAAACATTTTTGCAGTTTACCCATCTGACAAAGGGCTGATATCCAGAATTTACAAAGAACTAAAACAGATTTACAAGAAAAAAACTAACAAGCCCATTCCAAATTGGGCAAAGGATATGAACAGATACTTTACAAAAGAAGACATACACGAGGCCAACAAACATATGAAAAAATGCTCATCATCACTGGTCATCAGAGAAATGCAAATCAAAACAACATTGAGATACCATCTCTCGCCAGTTAGAATGGCGATCATTAAAAAATCTGGAGACAACAAATGCTGGAGAGGATGTGGAGAAATAGGAACACTTTTGCACTGTGGGTGGCAGTGTAAATTAGTTCAACCATTGTGGAAGACATTGTGGTGATTCCTCAAGGACCTAGAAATAGAAATTCCATTTGACCCAGCAATCCCATTACTGGGTATATATCCAAAGGATTACAGATCGTTCTATTATAAGGACACGTGCGCACGAATGTTCATTGCAGCACTGTTTACAATAGCAAAGACCTGGAACGAATCCAAATGCCCATTGATGATAGAGTGGATAGTGAAAATGTGGCACATATACACCATGGAATATTATGCAGCCATCAAAAACGATGAGTTTGGGTCCTTTGTAGGGACATGGATGAACCTGGAAACCATCATTCTCAGCAAACTGACAGAAGAGCAGAAGATCAAACACCGCTTGTTCTCACTCATAGGCGGGTGTTGAACAATGAGAACACATGGACACAGGGACGGGAGCACTACACACTGCGGTCAGTTGGGGGGAAATAGGGGAGGGATGGTGGGGGGTGGGGACATGGGGAGAGATAGCAAGGGGAGAAATGCCAGATGTAGGTGATGGGGAGGAAGGCAGCAAATCACACTGCCACGTGTGTACCTATGCAACACTTTTGCCTGTTCTTCACATGTACCCCAAAACCTAAAATGCAATAAAATAAATAAATGGGGAAAAAAAATTTTAATTCACATTTTAATGCAGATTATAAGACCATGTTAAAAGAATGGATAAAATGAATGAATGTGTCTCAAAGCTTGTTTACTATTTTCTTTATTATTGGGTAAACTGGAGAGTGTGCATACGTGTGTGTGTGTGTGTGTGTGTGTGTGTGTGTGTGTGTGTGTGTGTAATTCACTGTCTCTAAGAAGGAGGTCATGCCTGCTTTCATAATACCAATACACAGCATTTACAAGTATTTGCTTGGGGATAAGAAGACTCGGTTTAACTGTTGCTAGTTTTAGATTTTCAATACACAAAATTGACATTGAGAATATTTAACTCACTGGGGGTTAAATAATCAGAGTAATCAGAGGAAGATTACTTTAGTAATCTTTAGATTACTTAATCTTAGAAAGCAAAAGTGTTCCTTTAGTAATCAGAGTCTCAAAAAACATGTGTGTTTAGGTTTCTAACCTAAATCAGGCTGAGCATATGTACAAAGCTCAATGCTTATTGATTCTTATGAAAGAATGCTGAGAATTCAAAGAAGGAACAGATTACATGTTCTCATTATAGTCCATGCATCATTGAATCACCCTGGGAAAGTCATTTTACTTTAATAGTTTTAAATAAAGCTCTGAAATTCAAGCATACAATCAAAATGTGTAGTTATTTGATTTTTTATTATGCAGCTAATTTTAAAGGCTAGTGAGTTGATGTAAAAAAAAATTGATCCATCATTTAAAAATGGTAATGATTGCTAATATACTACTTATAAAATATTAGGTTGGCAGTAGGTGATTTTTGACCTTTAGAGAAAGGTTAGAAAATCATTAAAATGTGTTGTCTTCATATAGGAGCTAAGAAAACTTTGAACTTGGCTTCTTTGATTTTTTAAAATCTTCTGCTAGAATTTTAAATTTTAGGGGAAAAATATTTCATGCTAGGACACATCTTAGTTTTATTCCACAAATCCTCTTAGTTGAATTTTGTAAATTACCTGAATATGATTAAATAAAAGATGGATACACAGGGGAGAAAATGGGGTTGATGAAGAAATGGAATTCCTAATGAATCAGCAGGGGCTAGCATCCAGGTCACAGATTTGGGAATTAGTTCTAGAACGCTGAAATTCTCATAAAGCTACAAATAAAAATTGAGTTTCAAGCAAACAATATTAACTATTAGTAACAGAAAATAAGAATAGAAGAAAACGTAGAAACTATTGTATTTGTATCAGTACTATCTATTGTATGTGTTAGAAATCAAATTCTAACTAGCTTAAGAAAAATATGATTTGTCCTAGATGAAGGAAGCTTCAAGGATTCAGGCTGTAACCAGCTCAGCTTTTACAACCATAATTACTCCTAGACCTATTATTACACCCAGATAAATAGACAGAATACGATTATTGAATATATTTAGGTACTTGTTAATTTCTGTCATCAGAGAAGTGGACTGATGTGATTTACTCACCAGACATAATCACATGATTAGGTTGGGTGAAGAAACAGTTTCTGAAAAGCTGCAGGATTTCTGAACAGAAAAACATTTTACCAAACAACCCTAATGTCTGTTACAGTTTTTAAAACCTAAAACCTTCTGATTTACTGGTATGTAATTTTCTCCAGCAAGATTGTGCAGTTTGGATGTTGGAATGGATAAACATTTAGGTCAATACAAGGTGAACGTTTTCTAGGCAATAATGAATGAATGACAATTGGTATGTGAAGCTGTAGATGTAGAGGCGGAAGAGTGTGGAATCACACCAGGCCTGGAGCACAGCAACACATTTGGTGGACAGGATGCATATAAGCCCCTTCCACTCCAGTTAATTACTGTTCGTATTAGGCTTTCTTATAAATCGTCTCATTTGGTTTATCAGATTAGAAAGCAAAACAACAACTGGTAATTTTATTTCTTCTCCACTCTGCTATGTGGAATCTGTGAAGGCAGTACTTTAAATAGACACATTGCATATTAAACCAATCTAAGAAAATGAAATTATAATTTACATTATTTCATGTATAAGTAGGTAATGTTAACTAAAGTTAATAGAGAAATTCTATGGATGTATATTCCTGACATTTTTCATATGTAAAAAATAGCTAACAATTATGGGTCACATATTGTGTGCCATGCACTGTACTTAACACTTAACATCAGTTATCTTATTGTCTCTTGTCACATAATAGGAATGCAGGTTTATCACATCTTCAGTTCAGTTACATGGTAACACTGATCTCAAGATGGACCTGTGCCTGTTTATTTTTTCCTTTTTATCTTCTAAATTACAAACTTTCTCAATATGTTCATTGTTTTCCAAACTTCAAACAAATATACTGACATGAAAAAAATACTTTTTTCATGGACCACTGTCTTGAAAATGATTCACTCACATTCATATACCCCTTTCCGACTGACACACACACACACACACACAAACACACAACCACACACAAATACACGTTACTAAGTTCTTTTATTTACACAGTGTTACAGTGCTGTCAGTTGAACTCATCTCATGTACAACAGTTGATATGGACAAAATAGCGATGATTGCTAAGTCAAATTGCTACACACATATTTTCAGAAAATTTGAGTTATAAATGATTTTAGCTAAACAGTGTAGATCTTGGCTGGCAAGAATCGTTTACATAAGTAATTTTTAATGAAGAATTATCTATAATGTTGAACCAATTTACTTCATATTTGGAACTGAGTAGTGATAAAAATGACAATAAGATTGCAACGTTTTTTAAAAGTGACTTTAGCAGACAGTACAGTTGCCCAAAGTTTGTCAGGCAGAGTCAAGTATAGCCAAGAAAAGAGAATTAGTAAATTGGACAGGAAGTTAGTCTCTATTTGAATTTTGAATGTGTCATATATTTTAATTGTTGACTATAAAATCTTAATTTTCATTTGCAATATTTAAGACTTATTCCTGGCAACATCTTAGTTCCATCAGGAAGCTTTCGCCTGTCTGCTTCAGGTTTTCTTTTTTTTTTTTTTGAGACGGAGTTTTGCTCTTGTTACCCAGGCTGGAGTGCAATGGCGCGATCTTGGCTCACTGCAACCTCCGCCTCCTGGGTTCAGGCAATTCTCCTGCCTCAGCCTCCTGAGTAGCTGGGATTACAGGCACGCGCCACCATGCCCAGCTGATTTTTTGTATTTTTAGTAGAGACGGGGTTTCACCATGTTGACCAGGATGGTCTCGATCTCTTGACCTCGTGATCCACCCACCTCGGCCCCCCAAAGTACTGGGATTACAGGCGTGAGCCACCGCGCCCGGCTGCTTCAGATTTTCAACATAAACTATTCATCAGAGGCCGACTTTTGCAGGCAAGTGGCATACAAGGGACTGTCACTCAAAATATATATTTTTAAGATGGAAAAGTCTATTTTGCTCAGATTTATTTTTTTGTCTCCCAATAGACAACATGGGACTAAAGTAATTTATCTCTCAACTTGCTAGGGGATGTTTTAAATTTCGGTAAGCAGCAGTGTTATATTAGCATGGACCATTTGGGCAAATATGTTCCAGGGAGATAATAAATAACTAAACTGCATGGTTAAAAAATCAGAAACAAAACAATTTGTTCTTGTCATCTGGTGGTACTTAAATTATGAAAAATAGCTCTCCAAAGGTTTAACTAATCCCTGAATCTACTTTGAAGCTGTTGCTGACTTTATTCTATCATACTGCACATAATATCTTGAAATCCACTGAAAACCTGTGTTTGCATGTGTAATACCTTCCAAGATGATGATGTTTAATAATTTGCATAAAGATATTTAGGCTGAAGGTTAATAGAGAAACAAGATTACTCAATTCTATCATTTGTGCCTGTGGTAATTAGTTTATATGCCATAGTTTTAATTAAAGTATTAAATGATACTGGTATAACTATACTTTCTGGGGAAGGGACTGAGGGAATTTTTAGTGATAAGACAGGGAAATGATTAAGAAAGAAATGCACACACATGCTCAAACTGATCAACAGAGGGGCAATGTCTTAACTATCTGAAATTCTTAATTCAGAACTGTTTTGAAAACTGAGAAAGTTGTCGTTTATGTGGTCATGTCATCCAACCATAATGATATATTTTTCATATACAGCAGATCAGGTCCTTGCCACAGATAAGTTGGAGGGTGAACACTTGCTCTCTGTGGTAAGGGTGTAGATATTATTCATCTTTGTTTCTCTAATACTAAGCACAGAAAAGGTTGCCAAAACAGTTGTTGAATAAGTGGAATGTGGCTCCCTCAGTTGATGTTGAGACCCCAAAATCTCCCTGTATAAAGTCTAAGTGAGATGGGAACAGGAGACTGGGTTAAGGGAGAAAGAATTCATCTGAGACTTTTTCTCCTTTAATTTTACCCACTTAAGGCATTTAACTGTTTTTTTTTTTTAAATTTCCTCCCCTAATTTTCTATTAGCACAGAATTCATTTTAAGCAAAATTCACGTCTATAAAAGCATCAGAACAGAATTTGGGTGATTCAGTGTGAATCCTCTTTCATTACTGAGAATTGTCCTTTGTCTCAATTCTGTTAAGATTGGATCTGTATATATTTTGGTGACTCAGTGATTTGAATCACTTTAATGAAAGACTGATTTACTTAACTTAGCTGCACATATCTTAACATATATTTTGAAAGAGCAAAAAGATAGCTGTAAATGGTTTTGATATGAAAGAGAATGACTCCTTCTCCAAAATATGATTTTTTCTCAAAATTATAATTGAAATTGTTTTTGAGCTAAATAATTCTGAAACCATTCAGACAAAAAATCACAAATGAATAATTGAATTTTTTTTTATAAGAAAACATGAACTGACACTGAGAAAATACTTTGATGTAGTGGCATAAATTAAGTGCTCTTTGAATGTTTGGCATAATATGTCATATTCTGTAGCGGTGGATTTGGTTAACAGAGCAGATGCAGAGTTACAGGTTCTCCAAATCCTGACGCCCTATATGAATTTATGCTTATTAAAATTGATCAAGTGAGCTTTTCTGTTTCATGAAATAAAGGAATAATGAAATGTGTATGTTATCAATGAAAAGTTTGGGGTTTGAAAAAGAAGAGCATATTTATAATACGGGTTTTCAAAAAATGCTCCTAAGCCAAAAGCAATATCCCATTTATTGGTGGAGAAGAAATTCAGTTTTAAGGTATTGGATATAACTGGTTGCATATCCCACTAAGATCTATGTTTTCTTCTTAAATTGTGACAACCTCTCTAAGCACACATATTTGAAGAAGTGTTTTCTCATTTTGTTGTTTTCTATAAAAAGTCACAGTTTTGTTTTTTCATTGATGTTTTGACCATGTAAATGAATGCTATATTGAGAAAGAACTCTTTTAAAATGGAAATGCCAACACAGAGCCCGGTGGCTCATACCTGTAATCCCAGCACTTTGGGAGGCTGAGGTGGGTGGATCACTTGAGGTCAGGAGTTCAAGACCAGCCTGACCAGCATGATGAAACCCCATCTCTACTAAAAAAAAAAAAAAAAAAAAAAAGTAGCCAGACATGTTGGAATACACCTATAATCCGAGCTATTAGGGAGGCTAAGGCAGGAGAATCAGTTGAACCTGGGAGGCAGAATTTTCAGTGAACCGAGATTGTGCCACTGCACTCCAGCCTGGGTGATAGAGCAAGACTCCATCTCAAAAAAAAAAAAAGAAAAAAAAGCAAATGTCAAATACTTAGTTACAAGAAAGGAGTATGGATGAGTATAGATGTTTCACATGCAATATAATTTTATGACTGATATATTTTTGTTCAGTTTACTTAAAAACTCAGCATTTAGAATTACATGCAATCCAAAATCCAGAAAGCCTTGTACAAATTCATAATACTTAAGTAAACTTTGAAGTGTACCTTTTCAATGACAGTTTTAAAAGCAACATAGAATTTCAGAGTTTAGAGTGTTCATCATTATACCATACACCCTCACAATTCAGTATCTGAAAGAAAAGATAAGTATCATGTTTTGTAGAATATAGTAGACAAAAAAGGAAAAACAAAAATTAGAAATTCTCAAACATATCTTTTTAATTCTTAATTTCACTTAATGTTAGTTTCATGCATAGCTCTTCTTAACGGAATCAAAATACTTAATTTGTATCAATACTGACCCTTAAAAAAATCATACTTGTAACTCTTCTGATGCTATGTAAGATACTCTTAATCTTAGTCTTAATAAATAATGATTATTTATTTATATTATTTTATCACTAGGAAATACATTGACTAACCATTAATTCTAGTACCATGGATCAAGTATAATCCTACATACAATGGTTATTTTATGTAATTGATCTGTATTCATTATTCCTAAAGAGTTGGAGTAGATACGTTTGACTTATGTCGTGCCTTTCTTGGTACAACAGTGTATGCATATAGATATTAGTATCTGTTGAAAATGACAAAGCTGAGCTTCTTGAAATTCAAATGCAGCCTCACCTTGTTGTCTACATGCTGCCATTTTGTTAATATAAGCAAGCACATTGCAGAAAATGAAGTCTAAAATGAAGATGAACGTATTCACTGCTCTAGCTTTTGGTGGAATTCACATTTTAAATAGAAAATTGTCTCCTAAGTATTAACTGCAGAGTTACAAGCAGGATCAATAAACTAGTAATTAGGTTTGGGTCTCAGGCAGATTCAGAAGATTGTCTTGCTTTGTTCATGTGATGACCTCTGCTTTTTATTTTAACTGTTACAAAACTAATGCTATAAGAAATGTTTCAGGAATTAGAACTTTTATGCATGTTAAATTTTTAGCTACTAAATGATTCTTTAAAAAATCAATTAAATAATTTAAAACTTGTAGTGATTCTAAATGGAATTCAAATTCATGAGTTTCAGCCTGCATTATGAATCATATATTTTGATATTTATATTGGTTTTGGTTTGTTTGATCTTCACAGAGACATATATTTTTTGGAGTTTCAGTTTCATGGTATGTTTCTCAAACAATAACACGCAGATCTCTGTGGTAAATAAACTAAGAAACGAAACACAGTGTATTTTCCTCTTGGAGATTTATAATGCACAGCCACACATTGTCTCTGTGAAGTTCTGTCAAAAAGAGACAATTCAACTTTATTGTTTTCTAAAGTCATATGACCATGGGATGCTTTTGCCCACATAACATCTATTAACATCTTGAAGTGGTGATCTTTTTTTTTTTTGGAGGGGGGAAGGGAATATACTTTGAGAAGCACTAATTTAGTGAACTTTTCCCCAGTAATTTCTTTTTTAAAAAATTGTATATTATATGTTTTTTTTAAATAAAATTTTAGAGCATCTATGTTTTTGGATGTTTAAGAGGCAGAGAAAAATACGTGATCACATAGTTTACAACTTGAAGACATATGGCTGATGAACTATATTTTCAATCAGTTGGGGATAAGAAGGAGAAATCAGTATAAGTAGATTATTTTTACATTGCATAGAACTAGCCCCAGAGACACAAAGAATAGGAGTTTTAAATTCCTTGACAGTCATTCTATTCATCCATTTCCATTTTTCCTCTGCAACACAGTTGGTACATATAAGTATACATTTTGTGCATACTTAAAATATACTCCTCATAATCTTTCTTTCACAATATATTGTATTTTTCAGGAACACTAGTGGCTAGCAGAGTCATCCATATATATTTACTCTTGCTAGAAAGCCAATGCTAATTCAGTGCTTTGCTAGAATATGAGAATATTAGTGTGAGATGATCTGATATTTTTTACTATCTGAATTACCACATGCTCATCATTTCTTATCCGACTCTCCTGAGGAAATTTCTGCCAATATTGTATAGATGGACATTTCTTCGAGAATCATTTCAACACTCCATGTGTGTGTATGTATATAAAAATCATGGCTTCAGCAAAGTATTAGGACACGTATCTTACATGCTCCTTGAATTATCCTGTTTATTGTATATTAATATGTGAGTGTATATGTTTGTGTATATTTTACTTATGAATTTTTCACTTTATTTTTTCTTGACAAATGGGATCTTTTTCCCAATGCAAGATATAATATTGTTGATAAACTGTTTTAATATGTTCTTAGAAAAATAGTGGCTAATCCTTGGATCATTGTTGAATAAATTGTGAAAGAAAGATTATGAGGAATTTATTTTAAACGTGCATAAAATGTATTCAGTGTTTGATATAGTATCCTTTTTATTAAAATCAATAAAGCATTCTTTTTCTTTTTTTGTAGAGCAATGAAGTTGTCTACTACAATGCAAAGGATGATCTCGATGTGAGTATTAAAAGTTTTACATTAAATTCTAAGAAAAACAATTATAGTAAAGTGATTGGTCTTATAGAATAAATAGAGCTAGCAGATTTAGTTTTTAAGACAATATTAGGTTGCATGAGCAAAATACTAGTTAGATACAAGATAATTTAGAACTTTAGTACTTTTGTGATGTTTAACAACTTATTCTTGGCATCTGACTAAGTAACAATTCCATGTTTTCCTCTGGATTTGACCTCTCACTGCACTCTGTCCAGACCTCAGTCCGTAGTACCAACTGTCATACTCTGGACGCCATTAGCAATATTGAAAATAGCTATCAAATCCCATCTACCTCTGTATTCTGGCTCCTGTCACCAGGGTCACAACACCTATCTGCTTTGACTTAAACTTTGCACACCAGGGAGAACCATGTACTTCAACTACAATATGAATGACACCCCAGAAGCTGTGCAACAACTGGCCCTGCTTGTACAGTCTGTAGAACAAAGTAGTTGCTCCATATACCTTTGTAAATAAATGACTCTGATGTGCATATTTAAATGATTTTAAAACATGGATTTTTTTAGTGCTAATTGGTTACTTCTAATACTGTCACACTTGGATAGGAATTGAGGACACATTTTATTATTTAGTTACAGTGAAAACATTTTCAAAAATAATAAAGGTTACACTTGATTTTTAAAAAATTCTTATACTTGACTCTTACATCAAAAAGTATCTGGATATACTTAATTTTTAAGACCAAAATATTTGTTAAGGTCATCCTATATTATAGGTATTTTAAGAGCTTGGGATATTTCAGTAAATGTAGCAAACAAAAGTATTACGTCTTTCACATATTTCTTATCTGAATCAAAATAATTGTATATTATACATATATATATTATTTATATATATATAATTGTATATTATAATATACAAAATATTTGTATATTATTATGTGGAATTTTCTTCCAGCTATTTAAAAGAAGAAAATGAAAAAAAAGTCTATCTGGTCTTCAGAAAATGAGAAAACATGTAATAGCTTGATATGTCAGTTTCCCAAATTATAGCAAGTTATACCACCACTGTCTCAAACCATACGCTAACCACTTTACACAATTATTTTACTTACTTCCTACAATAATACTGTGAATGAAGAAGGTTTTATTTTTTCCAACTCATAGTTGAAGAGCTAAGGGTGTTTTGAAAAGTATATTTTTCCTCTAGACATAGGTGGCATTCCAGTGACATCTTTCCTCTTATGATGAGTGTATATATTATTTTAATAATGTAGGAGGCTTATTAAGTACAAACTGTCAACTAAAAATATTTTAAGTTTATTGATATCAAAGTAAATACTAGTTTTGAAGAGTTTAGTTTCATCATTATAATTAGCACTTGATATTTCTAAAATTATTTAAAAATATATAAAAATCTTCATCAACCTTTCTGGCGGTATATAAATTGCAACATTTGTTAAATATTTAATTTGTAAAACTGTGATAAAGACTTATAATAAAGTGAATGCCATTGACATGCAATCCTCCAATTAAGGGTAGCATAAAGATAATGAAACCAATACTGAAAATACCTTTTTTCTCTAATCTAATTAAAGAAGTTACATTTATATGTCAAACAGTTTTATTTATTTAGGTTTGCTCATGATTTAGAAAGTTACTTTTATTTTATAGTGAAATTGGTCATTTTCCTTTGTTCAAGATTTTAGCAATTATCTGTAAAATGTCAATATGACTTTTTAGTAACTGTCACCCCAGTTTAAATCAATGCTTCAAAGTTGCCCATTTGAGCATATATGTCCACTACAAGTGGAAAAGTGTGCATTTGTTACTATTTGTGATACTTGAGTTGTTCTAATATTGTTACATAGATTGCCTTCACTGTTGTTCATTCAAGTATTTAAATCAAGCCCTTTTGGGAGAGACAAAAATTGTATAAGTGAATTTATTGAACTTTCCCTTTCCCTGTTTTTCCCATTTTCTCACCTAAAAAAAATAGTATCTAATACTACTGTGGGTAGTGCTTATGAAAAGGATTCATTCTCTCTCTTCT